CCTCTCTCTCTCCTCTCTCTCCCTCCCTCCTCCTCCTTCTCCTCCCTCGCTCTCTCCTCTCTCTCTCTCTCTTCTCTTCTCTCTCTCTCTTCTCTCTCGCTCGCTCGCTCTCGCTCTCTCTCGCTCTCTCTCGCTCTCGCTCCGCTCGCGCTCTCGGTCTCGCTCTCTCTCTCCCCCTCACTCTCCCTCTGTTGCCACATGATCTCTGCACACATCAGTGCCCTTTGTTCCACTGTGAGTGAAACAGCCTGAGGTCCTCACCAGAAGCCCAATCTTAACCTTCCACCAGCAGAACCATGAGTAAATAAACCTCTTCTCTTTAAAAATTACCAGCTCAAGTATTCTTTATAGCAGCACTAACTGGACTAGACAACTGTAAAAAAAATAGATAACTGCCTCCTGCCTACATACCAAGGACATATCAGAATCTAAAGAAGATGTGAAGAGTAAAGTAGTTGCAATGGATAGCTTGTTTTCTATGAATTTGTTTTCCAAAAAAGATTCCATTTCATTTCCCTTTAGGAAACAACAATTCTCACACTGTGATTTCATTTTGGTAATGACACTTTTTTTTTTTTTTTTTTTTTTTTTTGAGACAGAGTCTCGCTTTCTTGCCTAGCTAGAGTGAGTGCCTGGCGTCAGCCTAGCTCACAGCAACCTCAATCTCCTGGCTTAAGCGATCCTGCTGGCTCAGCCTCCCGAGTTGCTGGGACTACAGGCACGAGCCACCATGCCCGGCTAATTTTTTAATATATATATTAGTTGGCCAAATGACTGTCTTTTTTATTTTTCAGTAGGCCTCGGCCTCCCAGAGTGCTAGGGTTACAGGCGTGAGCCACCGCACCCGGCCAGAAAGTCATATTTTCAACATTCCAAACTGGGAGTGGGGAAAGGAAATGAGCAGGGGTAACTGTTAGGAACTGCCTTTTGTGGTTATGTTGGGATGAAGAATGATGCCTTATATGATGATAACAGATTTTCTCCAGCATTTTATTATGAAATATTTCCAACATAAAAAAAAAAAAAAAAAAAAAAAAAAAGTGTCATTACCAAAATGAAATCACAGTGTGAAGATTGTTGTTTTCCTAAAGGGAAATGAAAATGGAATCTTTTTTGGAAAACAAATTCATCAGAAAACAAGCCTATCCATTGGCACATACTTTACTCTTCACATCTTCTTTAGATTCTGGATATTCTTGGTATGTAGGCAGGAGGCAGTTATCTATTTTTTTTTACAGTTGTCTTAGTCCAGTTAGTGCTGCTATAAAGGAATACTTGAGGCTGGGTAATTTTTAAAGAGAAGAGGTTTATTTACCTCATGGTTCTGCTGGTTGGAAGGTTCAAGATTGGGCTTCTGGTGAGGACCTCAGGCTGTTTCCACTCACAGTGGAAGGCAAAAGGGCACTGATGTGTGCAGAGATCATGTGGCAACAGAGGGAGAGTGAGGGGGAGAGGGGGAGAGAGCGAGAGCGAGAGAGCGAGAGCGCGAGTGAGAGAGAGAGAGCGCG